TTACAAAACTCATATTCAATATCAATTAAAAAATAGAAAGAGAAGATAACGTTTACAGGTTTCTTTTCGCTACAAATACCTGAAACATGAGGTCTACTTTCCTTTTTCATTCTACAATTAGAAAGAATGACAAATTTCGTAGTATACTTTCCATCTAAATGCAAGAACTGCTGAAAGTATAAATCTAATTGTTGTTACATCTCTTCGCACTAACGTAACTTATTAATTTTATATTCAAGATAATAAATGCCGCTAAGTTCACTTTTTGCACAGTAAAGTTGTACAAATTGTACTTTATGCTGATTATTGACAAGAACTGACCACTAAATGTGTTTTAAAACATTGACGAATGAGCAAAGCGCCCTAATGTATGCAAGAATTCCAAACACATCTCACGATAAAGATGAATAGAAGTGGATTAAAGGCCAACACCCAACTGCAACCACATGCGGTGTAGAATGTATGCCGTATTTTATGAAACCTCATTAAAAAGTTCTTATACACATGTTTTCTTCAAGAAACTTTTGATATCAGTCTGAATGAGCTTTCTTTCCTCCCTGAAGTTGCAATATCTTAGTCAAAGCGAGCGCTACCTCAAAAAAGCATGCGCACTATATGTACACAAAATTGAGCTAAAATACCTCAATTTAAGACTTTTAATAGACCATAATATACTCATTACTGCGGATGTCCCTATAATTTAAAAAATAACAATATAAATACAAATCTTTAAGCAGCTTACTTCCTTCTTCTGCTGTAGAAGTCTTCGTGGAGGTGGAACTGGTGGTTGTTCAGCTTGCTGCTCTTCACCAGCTTGCTCCTTAGCACCTTCTTCCACCAACTGCACAACTACGGTAGGTACTTCTGCTTCTTTTGCGGTTATGGGAATAGTTTCTTCTATGGATTTGGAGGTTGGGATTTGCACTTCCTCGGCCGCCTGCATTCCTACAGAGGGCTTCTCTGGCAGTTGTACCGTTACAGTAGGTACTTCTGCTTCTTGCGTAGTCGCAGGAATAAGTTTCTCGACCGATTTAGGAGCTGCAGGCTGTACTTCTTCAACTGTTTGAGGTTCTTCTGAGGACGAAACAGTTACGGTAGGCGTTTCTGTTTGTTCCTGCACAACCACGGGAATAACTTTCTCGACTGATTTGAAGATTGCAGGTGCTTGCTCAGCTGTTTGCTGCTCCTCCGACGGCTCGACTGTCAAAGTGGGCTCTTCTGCTTCTTTTTTGATTATTGGCACAATTTCCTTCACCGATTTAGGAGCTGCAGGCTGTTGTTCACCAACCATCTGCATCTCAGCGGAAGGTTTCTCCTGCAGCTGAACCACCATAGTAGGTACTTCATCTTCTAGCTTTGTAACGGGAACAAGGTTCGCAACCGACTGCGGAGCTGCTTCTTCAGCAGACTGCACTTTTTCCGGCAGCTGAACTGTCACAGTAGGCACATCAGCTTCTTGAGTGGTTATGGGTATCACTTCCTCAGCTGATTTTGAAGCTACAGCTTGCGCTTCTTCAGCTGTCTTCATTTCTTCACTAGGTATTTCCGAGAATCGAATAGACATAGTAGAAGCTTCTGCTTCTTGAATCACAGGAACAACTTTCTCGACGGTCTTGGTAACCGCTGCCTGTCCTTCTTCGACTGGATGAGGAACCTCTGTAAGCTGAACCAACACTGTTGGCTCTTCTGCTTCTTTCACAATTACTGGGATAATTTCCTCGACTGATTTTGGAGCTGCAGGCTGAATTGGCTCAGCTATAGGTTTCTCTTCATCTTTTTGCCT